CAGAACTGGACAGAGTACTCCAGATGGGGCCTCACTAGGGCAGTGTAGAGGGGAAGGAGAACCTCCCTCGATCTGCTGGCCACACTCCTCCTAATGCACCCCAGGATGCCATTGGCCTTCTTGGCAGCCAGGACACACTGCTGGCTCATGGTCAACCTGTCGTCCACTAGGACACCCAGGTCCCTCTCCACAGAGCTGCTCTCCAGCAGGTCCGCCCCAAGCCTGTACTGATCAAAGCAGTGGTTCACTTATTAGTCAAACTGTTGCCTTTAATAAGGTTCTTTGACTTCTAAGATACATTATTGACAGTGACGAGATAATTTTCTTTAAAATTTTATTTCTGGTTTATATAATAAAAGGTGCTCTTGAGTGATATAGTTGGATAGATGGTTATGCAAGGCAGATCTCCAGTTTTGTGCTGGGAAATAAGCAGCTGAAAGACTTAACTAGTGCTCAAGAAAAGAATAAGTGCTCATCGTTATAGGAAGGGGGCCTGTACATTCCAGCACAGGTGAGCCTAGTCTCAGGTATAGTACTTGTTTATTTTGCTTATGTGTTACTTTATATGATAAAGTAGCGTTTCTGTTTTCTGCCGTACAGAGTTGGCACCTAACTTGTCATGGAAATACTGCTTCAGTTTACCGAACTTTCTGATTAAGGCTGCATGAGTGAACTAGAAATGGCAGCTGTAGCAAGTTTCTCTGGCTTTTAAAAATGCAGATGAGGATAATACTGTCCAAAGAACAGAAGAAAATCATCTCTAATCATGATGTGCCGCATCTTGTAAAGGAATATAATTAGTCTTTTGCTTTTTATAAGCTGTTGCCAAGTAAGGTAGTCATGCTTTTTTTGTTTTTATTCCAAAACGTTTATAGGGTTGGTCATGTTGTAAAAGAAGAACAACAGACTTTTCTGACTTCTTAAGCATTGTGGTATGTACTCATGATTATTTACAATTTTTATACTTGTCAAATGACATTGATAAATATTAAATGGTATATGTGCATACATATTTAATATTTGCATACTTTCAAACTTTTAAATCTTGCATGCGCTATTTTTCTCAAGGTAATGTTGCAGTTGATTTTCATTTTTAAGCTTTAATGGTTATAACTAGTTCTGTCAAAACCTATTTAGAGACTTGTTGACAGTGAAAGAAGGTCAATATTTTTGTTACTTTGCTTGATTACAGAAAGTATGCATTTTTCTTTAACATGTCTCCAAATGAAGATATTTTCCACTTCAGTTGTAGGATTTCCTTTGCGGACGATGCTTAAAGTGGGCTGAAGGAGAAGATGGGGCTGAAGAAATAAATCAAGAAAACTTGTTGCAGTTTTTGATAATTTTTAAATGTGCAAGCAGGCTACATAGTATATATATAAATGTATGCTTTCCATAATAGGGCTGTACGAAGGGTCTCCATAACAGTGAGAAACCTCCTGAGCCTGTTAAACCAGAAGTCAAAACTACCTCTGAACGAAAGGAGCTAGCTGAACTGAAACCCAAGTTTCAAGAACACATAATTCAGGCACCAAAACCATTGGAAACAATTAAAAGGCCAAGGTACACTATAAGAAACTAAGTTTTGCCAAATTTGTGGTCTGTTGGCTAAGATAGAGCTCGTTTGGTTATTCAGTGTTACACATCTCATATAGTGTAAAAATTCCCAAATTAACTTTAAAAGAGCTTGTGTTTGGTAGCAGTTAAGACGTTATCTTAAGTTTCAAAACGAAATAAAAGAATTCTGCTTAGGAGGAGGTAGTACTGGATCTCTCAGCATTTAGCTTCCCAGGAAACAAAAGTTGCAGTCTAAAGCCTCGTATTATTAAAAATAATTTTAGAGTGCTCGTGTTTAGATTCCTTAATCTTTCTGATTTATTTTTAGTGTTGTAGAGTTGTGAGGATTTCCTGTTTAAGACTGCTGTGTAAATTTCTAGTCTATTTTTCCATAAACAGTGAGAATTGGCACTTACAAATCTAGTTTGTTTGTTGTTGTAAGGGAGGTTGCAAAGGGAGAGGCTTATAGCAAGATTAAAAGTTACTACTTTGTTGTCTCATGTAACTTATTTTTCATGAAGCTGACATGAATAAATGAACATTTTTTTAGCCCGGATGAGCCAATGACAAATTTGCAGCTGAAAGTGTCAGCTTCCTTGAAGCAAGCATTAGATAAACTGAAACTGTCATCAGAAAACGAAGAGAAAAAAGGTAAGGATATAGGGAGGTTACATAGGTATATGACTGTCACACAAATAAATGAAATGCTATTTTTTGTTACTGTTTCTGAACTGATTTTTTCATGTAATTATGTTCTTGTTCTTAATACTCTGGGAAATAGTTGGCAGTCTAGGGAATGATAATCAAAATTTAACCGTGAACAATGTGGAGACTTGGGTGTGACAAGCATTATGTGCCCATTAAAATTATTTAAACTGCCTGTTTTGTGAGAATTCCTGGATAGAATGGACATGGTGGGAACATCCATTTCTGAATATATGACTGAAAGGGTTTCAAAAGAAATGAACTCTGCTCCTATGTTATTGCAAACACGATGTCATAAAAAGCCTTTCATAACCTGGTGAAATTTCTCTGAAGTCTAGCTGGTTCTCCCTCATCTGTTTTTCTTCCTTTTTTTTTTTTACTAATTCCCACAGTTTGTTTGGAATTTGGTTCCAGAACTACACTGCTCCTAAAGAAACACTTTCTGATTTCAACCTATATTTGTGGCTATTTTAGACTTCTTTTTTACTGGTGCCAGAATTGCCATTTAGCTCTTCTTTCTACTTGGTATCCAAGTTCTTTCCTTGTGTGTATTTATAGACAGCAGTTGTAGCCTTTTACCTGCTTAGTTTTACAAAAACAAACAAAATGAGTGATTGTTCTCTTCCTTGATGACTGTAATAATCCTCTTCATGGATTTTTTTTGCCTCACTTAAACCAGTGTAAAGGTATAGAACCTACAGTCTGATGTATAGGTAATACAGGTTTCAAAATGTTTGTGGCATTTTGGTGTCTTTGTACCTGTCTGGCAGACTTCAGTACCAGGCAGAAAATAGACAGCTTGAGATACCTTTTTTTTTTTTTTTGTCCCCCCTCCTAAGCTAGTCCTTAGCTCACTTTAATTCTCAATAAAAGCAAAATGATTAGTTCATTGTCCAATTCACTTACTATTTTCTATAACATGATTCTGTTTACAGAGGAAGACAGTGATGAAATCAAGATTGGGACAGCATGTAAAAATGCAGGCTGTTCAAAAGTAAGTCATTCAGTTCCGCTCTTAAACCCAACTGCTAAACTATTAAATGTGCAGTTTTGTTTTCCTTTCTTGGGTGTTCTTTTGTGTGCTACAAATTGATTTGGAGATGGCACAAAGTCCGTCAGGCTTAACAAATGCACATCTGATAGCATGCTGCAGTATAGACAAATATGGGCTGTTTTGTGCTGTGAATGCAGTAAGTCTAAGATTACTTTTTTTAAGCGTGTGCTGAACTTCTAATTAGTAACCTTGCCAAACCCGTGATACTGATGTGTTTCAACTTAGGACGTTAAATACAATATTGGTGAGAAGTGACTTACTGATAACACTTGAATTGATCTTGATAATCTGTGTATAGGTCAGAAGCATCTGCAGATCTTATCCACAAAGAAAATGTTATCTTATCCACAAAGAAAATGTTTTAACACTTCTAGCACCAAAGTTAGTCTTTATATTACGTAGTCATTTAAACTGAAAGTTTTTTACACTGACACCCTTGTGTTGTACAGAATGGGACAGTAGAATTTGAATAGGTATTTCACTGGATATCTAACAGATTTTGCGTTTTCTATTGCAACTCTGGTGGGAGGAGAATTTATAGCAGTCTCTTGTTTGTGTATCTGATATGATATTCAGTGGCAGAGTTGTATATTATTTAATTTGCTTCCTTTTGAGTATCCAGGTGTTTTATAAATGATAAGTTTAATTTATTTTACAGTTAACTACTTCTTTTCTCTGAATATTCAGACTATTTTTAAAGGTACATATCTTTGAGGATCTAAAGTGACCTTAATGAGCATAGATGATGTCACCATTGATGTACTCCATTGAAGGAATAAGAAGTATAGCTTGTTAGAAGGAGTGCTAGGGAACCTTTTATGAATGAAGGTTGAGTGGCTATTTTGAAAAGCTAGGGCAAGCCATTGGATTTAGATTTTTTACTGAAAAGCTTTGTAAGACTTTGTTCAGTGTTTCTGTTGTGGGGTGTGTTTTGTTTTCTTTTTTCCTTTGGTCCACATCCTGTAACAGTAACACATTTTAAATGCTTTGTTTTACTAGACATACGAAGGACCACACAGCACAGAAGAAGTATGTATATACCATTCTGGTGTACCTATATTCCATGAAGGGTTAGTAGTCAGTTAACTTTAATTTTTTTAATTAGCCTACTATGTGTTCCTGCTTGCTTTGTAGATGTTGCCCTGTTTTCATTCTGTATTTCTTCTTCAGTTAAAAATTACAATGCTTGAAGAAGGTGTTCTAAATTAGTAGTAATATTGCACAAAGGAAAGATCTGAAGTGCTCACAGTAAACAGTATCCTAAATATTGTTTGTTAATTACTTTGTGAACTTTCAAGGATGAAGTATTGGAGCTGTTGTAAAAGAAAAACCTCTGACTTCAATACGTTTTTAGCTCAAGAAGGCTGCACAACAGGAACACACGTATGGACTAAAAAGGATGCGGTAAGTAGCATTAGCTTTACATTCTGTAGCTGGCCATTCTGAATTTTGAATACTGAAATGTAGTTAGTAGATTGATTGAGTTGTTACTGTAGTTGAGCTGTTACAGATCACTACCTCTGAAATAATATGGAGGGTATTAGGCACATGACAACAGAAATGGAGTTTGAAGTAATCTGTGGTAGAAGTATACTTGTAGTAGCGTACAACCTTTCTTTTTAGTGATATATATAGTATCACTATTTTATAGTAACAGTGTTTTCAGCAAATTCAGGAAATATAATAGCAGTCACTTCTGCTTTGTTAGTTAAGAAGGTCTATGGTATTCCATATAGAATATATTCCATATAGAATATATTCTGTATACATTCCTTTAAAATAAGGTTATTAGAAGTCTTTCCTCCCTCAAAGACCATGAAGAGAGCTGCGGTACATGTTCTGTAGTGACATAACTGTACTTCCAGTTTCATTCAGGGTAATTGAGTTGTTTAGGTAGGGATGACAGGGTGGATAAGGTTGAAGTTCCATGGGTGGGAATGGAAAGGTCTCTCTGTAATTTGGATTCTGTTTACACATTTGAATATTTTTCTGCTCTGAATCTTATTGAGTGTTTTTGGCTACCAGTGTAATAAATACAGAGAGAGCATTTGCTTAGTTTGTAGGTATTTCATTGCAATGTCAGGAACAAACTGCAGAATTACAAGGGGGAAAGTATTTCCATGCAGGGTTTAAAAAGACTCTAAGAGAATGTTACAGAATGTAATAATGGAACTGAATACTTGCTTCAGAAACATTAGCTGGTCACATGTTGGATGCAGGTGAACACAGAATTTTTCTTATGAATATGTTGTCTGTTGCTGAGGCAAAATGGGTTTGATACTGCAAACATCAGTAACGTTTAACAGAAGAAAATAAAGGTATATTATAGAAAGTGTAGTTCTGTTACCTTGTTCTATAACAATTACTTCACAAGTCCTTCTTTTAAATTACGGAATTGCTGTTTGCTTTGAAGATTAATGTTTGTGTTTAAGGAGGGCTTAAAAAAAAAAGCTGAAGTTGTGAATCTAAAGCAGGAGTATTCTTGTAAAGAATTTACCCAGATGTTAAGAAACTATGTGTTTATTAAATGTGTGTATATTGAGATAATGGGCTTCTAGCTGATAGGCTTTTTTTGACTTTACCTTTTGTTATTTGGGGTTTTTTCACTGTTTATTTTTCCTGCATCAGAGAACAGAGGGTAATATTAAGTAATGTCTTCAAGTAATGTGAAAGTTTCTTGGAGCATTGGCTGGCTTTTTCTTTGTTCAGTTTCTTTGTACTACTTGCTGGATAACTGTAGTCTTGGAGAGGAAGTTAACCCAACAAGTATAATTTTTTTTGTTTGTTTGGGATTTTTTAAGGTAGTCTCAGTCATAAGCATTGGGTTTTTTTCTTTTAATGTTTGTCACAGACCAGTAGGTGCAATACGTGAATTGTAGTCCTTTATTAGCTATGCTTATTTGCTATTAAAATAGTCCTGGCCTTTTTTCCTGACTAGTCTTGTAAAAATACCGCTGAAAGCAGTTTTAAGTCTTTTTTTTTTTCTATACCTTTTTCCTGATATAGAGTAAGAAAGTAGTTCCATGCAGGCATGATTGGCACCAGACTGGAGGAGAAGTGACTATTTCTGTGTATGCTAAAAACTCTGTTCCTGATATGAGCTATGTAGAAGCAAATAGCACAATGGTGAGTATCTACCTGAAGATGTAATTCTTTTTTTTTCAATTCTTACAGCAGCTTGAAGTTAGGAAAGTCTGGCTTCTACTTTATTTACAAGACAGAGGTAGCATAAGAATCTTTTTTTGAGTAACGGCGGTTTCTTGGAATTTGTGTTTGTTCGTGTGTAGCTTTTTTTTTCTCTTCTGTTTGGGTATCTGTACTTTAGTGTTTGTTTTTTTGTGTTGTTTTTTTTTTAAAAAAAAAAAAGCTGCAGTAATCTTTAATTTGACTTCTGCACTTAAAACCTGAGTGTGATGGATTTGCATCACCATATGTATAAATAATTATAGATTCCAAATTTAATTGTATTTGGCTTAATGGAATTTAATATTGTTCTTCATGGTACGCAGTTTCACAGCTACTAAGATGAAACAAGTGTTAAAATGCTTCTCTGATTTCTTATTCACGCATTTGGAGAAAATGATAATGCTTCCAGGATGTATATGTGGCCACTATTGACTATGACACTGTATCAGAATCTGTTAGAATAGATTTGCACTTCTGTGTCTGACAATTTGATCACTTTGTTCATTGTGCGATCTGAGTCCTAATGTGGTATATTTTGCTTAAATGTACTTTGATGTCAAATGATTTACTAGCCTGACAAAATTTTTTGTTGTTTTTCCTGTGAAGTTAAATATCCATATTGTATTTGAAGGAGAAAAGGAATTTCATCGCAGTGTGAAATTATGGGGAGTAAGTATAATAATAGTTTTTCTATTTTTTTTAAAAAAAGCACAAACCCTCAGCTTCCTCTCTTTCAAAACAGTTTGGTTTTCCCCTTTACTCTGCTTATTGAAAGAAATTCAGTTGCATGTCATTCAGTAATTACATTTAAATCTGAATCTAATGCCCTAAGTGATCATGTATGACTTCATAGTTGATGCTTCTTTGAGCAGAAGGTGGACTCCTGAACTCCTTTCTGTCCCGATTTGTCCAAAGATCCCAACACCATGACAGTGGTGTTGCAGAAAACCCTGGACACTGTAATTGCATGCTTGTGTACGTATTAGACCAACGTATATGTTACATATGCACAGGTGTATGTTTATAGCTTGGGAATGGGAGAGGGTTGGCTTTCCCAAACAACAGAGGGAATTCCATCTACCTACACATCTACTGAAATTTAGTGATAAGGTACTTTTCCTAACTTAATTCCCAAATATCTAACAGTCTGGATCTTAAACTGAAGTGTGAACTATATTTTCTGTTCTAGGTAATTGATGTAAAGAGGAGTTACGTGAACATGACGGCTACAAAGATTGAGCTTACTATGAGAAAAGCAGAGCCCCTATTATGGGCAAGTCTTGAATTACCTGTATCCAACACAGAACAAAAAAAAGAGAATTCAGATCAATAATGATTCCAAGAGACAAGTTATTTCCTATTATGAAGTGGTGACTTGCTACTGTAATCAAATATTTAACTTTTATATAGATTAATTTTTTTAACTACTAGATCACATGTTCCATTCTACAAAGATATTTGCCACACAGTAAATGAGGGTGTGAACTTGGAGGGTGATATCTTTTTTTGCTCTTGCTCCCATGAGTATATTTATTGTAGTTGGAGTGTGACCATGGGAATTTAGAGTAAAAGAGCTGTTGCCCTATGCTTACAACCTTACCCACCATGCACTGACTATTCCAAATAGGCGTGTTTTTAGTCCACTGTGTGTGTTAATTTTTCAAATGTTCGGTTTAAACTGGGTCTGCTGGGTGGCACATGTTAATTTTAGCACTGTTCATTATGAAGCATACAGTAATACAGATACAAAAGTCTGAGTTTATGAAGTGATTAGAATGCAATTCTTCATCTAGAATAAAAAAGTCCATAAACATAAATATGAAAGAATGCTTGTAGACTTGCATTTTTGTCTTCTCAAGCTAAGGTTTGTTTCAATAACTGTTGGCTGTGCAGGGATGGAATAAACGGTATTTTGCTACGGATTTCAGTACTTGGTGACTTTTGCTGTCTTTCATGTGTAAAAGCAGGAGATCAGATTAAAAACAAAGTTGTCAAGAGGGTTTTTTTTTTAAAAAACCCAAACTCCTGTACCTTTGGTATGTGAATTGTTAAATATAAAAGTGAATGGACAGTGAAATGGCTGAATAAATTAGCATCTCAGCTGTGGAGAACATAGAAACAACGGACTATTGTAAAATTACGAAGGTGCTGTATATATGTGATAGTCTTTAGAATGTATATTCTACAACATTCAGAATTATGAATCTTTTTTCAAAGTAGGTGGACATGTGTAGTAAGAGAAGCCAGTACACACTGTAGGTGTCTCGGGAAAGTTATTTCCATGTAGATGTGCATAGCTCTTGTTTCTGATGATGGTAATCTAAGAACTAAATTTATCTACAGGAGAAATCTTAGGAGAAGGAAACAACAAGCTTTAAAATGTCTGCCTCAAATCATAATTGTACCTTTGAATTAAAATATTTTAAAATATTATTTCTTTCAACAGCATAAACAGAGTACTATAATTAGAAATCAAGACCTTATTTTTGTTTTCAGTTCTTCATCAGTAAAGATTTGTGGCTGAAAACAGGATAGTTTTAAAGATGAGACTTTAATCCAAGCAGCAACACATGCAGTAATGTTTCTTTCTGCTTGAAATAATTTCTTTATGTCGGGTTGCAGCTGAAAGAAAAACAGTGTTTTCGTATACAAGTTGTGAAAAATGTACACAGTTATTGTGCCAAAACTTACACATGTAAACCAGCAGTCCTGTGGACTGTTGAAATGTGTGGATGCTCATCTACTGCCTTGGCTGACCTGGAATAGTGCCGAGAGAAACTCTGAACGTAGTAGAGGCATTCTGAAGTTCAATATGGATTTCCAGGAATCCTACTGTTTTCCAACAGGTGTAATTTAACTTGAGCTCAGAGTCTGTCTCTTGCAGTACTTGAAATCCTACTTCATGGTTAAAGTAGTAGGAAATACATTACCAAAGAAACCATCCTCAAACACCAAGAAAGTAACACCAGTACTGTATGTATGAAACTTGTTTTGGTGCTTCTTTATCTTCATTTCAGGATCCTGTTTCCTCATTGACTTGGAAGGTTGCTTACTCTCTTGGGGCCCTATTAAGAGTTCCTGCTCTAAGTTCTACATAGAAGGTTCTATTAACCTGTAATAATGCCCCCCCCCTTTTTCTTTAATATATTTGAAAATGTCAGGAGCTGTGAAGCGATAGGGTACAAGCTTACAAAAATGTATGTCTGCAAACAGTCCTCTAAAAATTGAACAGATACTTCATGATGTGTTCTGAACCACGAACTGGAGCTGTTGTTAGTATAATGCTGAGAACAAGCACTTGAGTGGATGAAAAGTTCCAGATAGCTGTAGCACCTAGTGTGCCAGCTGTGGTTTTGTGTGCGGAACTCTGAGCTTGGACAGCAAAATGAGCAGTGTTTAAATGCCAGGATAAAGTTTGTATTTAACAAGCAAGTTCAAATGTGTGTCTATCCATATGGATATATAAATACCCTAAATATCTTGTGTTTTCCGCTTTTTAAAATTTATTTACATCCTAACATGCAGTAGGTTTACATCATGTGAAATCCATTTTAAAGAACTACAACAGAAAGGGAATTTCTTGGGAAAACAGAACTCCTGTTTTTAAGCAAGTCATACTCTCCCTTAGTATACGTAGCGATAAACGGTGAGGAATGTGGATGAATGGAGCTTCACCCCTTGGTGCTGCCGGCTTTGGGACCCTGTAGCTGTTTGTTATGATCTCTCAAACTACATTGTGCTGGTAGCTGAGTCAACTTAGCCATAAGTAGAAGAAATCTCATGTAAACATGGTCCTCGATTTTGCTTTTGCGTTTTATTCATTCCTCCTACTCTTTTCCTGTTGTTCATACTTTCAGCACAAAATTAAAGATACTTCAGGAGTTCCGTAATGACTTTCCCATTAGTGGCAATAAAACCACTTTTAAAATTCACCTGTTTAAAAAATACGCAAACAAACAAAAAACCCCAGCTTTGATCAGGCCAGAAGGTAGAGGTTTTGCAAAGGATAGTCTGATTTTTCTATGGCCCGTGATATTTTTCAAAAGAAAAGGATAAACATGGTATAGACTGCTGTAAGTCTCTGCATGAATTCTTAGCAGCTTTCTATAACCGTATGTCTGCGTCCACCATCAAGCTGGAAAATGTATCGCTTACTGAATTCCAGTGTGGTGAGCAGCTGCTCAGAACAGGGTTCAACACACCAATGTTTGGTCCTGATGTTCCGAGAAATTACATCTTGACAGGGGTAGCGGTAGCTGACCAGTGGAATGGTGGTTTGACTGTAACTTTTCTTCGTAAATGTGGAGAGGAGGTGAAACCAACTGCAGTGTACTAAAGCAATCACAGTACTTCCTCAAAAAGCAAGATGTGAAAACTAAGCTGAGGGATTTTTGATCACATAGGCTTTCACCTGGCTAACAATAGTGAAACTAAATTGCAAATGATTATGGACAGGAATACTTGCTCTTTTCTTCATGTTTTCAGAAGTTGTGCTGTATTTAAGTTGGTTAACTTGATACAGTCTGGCTATATTTTTAGAAGGAATGAGTCTTTAAAAGCTGCAGTGTGTTTCAGTGTGGGTTTGCACATCACACGTGCAGGTAGCGTAGTGTCTCAGAATTGACAGTCCAGGTCCATATAGAACTCCTTCACAATCCTTTTTTAACATGAAAAATTTTATGGGTATACAAGTTTGTGACAGAAATCTTAATCTTTTCCCTCATGTATAAGCCCATTTTCCTACCTAGCATTACGTACTGTATCTGTGATGACATTTCATGGAGGACTTGGAATTTAGTGTTAGTATACTGTTACGCGCTGGGCTGTTCAGCTGCTCTGGCTCTTACGTTTTGCATGGCATTGATGTAACTTGACGAAAAAAATCTTCCCGTTGGGTGATCTTCTGGAACGTGTACATTATCAAGTCACCATTTCAATAGTTTAGGGATTAGTTTTACTAGGAATTTTGCCTTGAAAAAAATCTATGTAACAATGCATTTTTTTTTCTTGCATACTTTAAACAAGGCATGAGCATTGGTTAAATACTGTACCTGTTAATTATTGGTCTTTCCCAATTGCTACTAAATTTTTTTTATCCATTCAGGAATGATATCTTTTTTAAAGTAATGAGTTACGTGTCTGGAACACTGTTTTAAGGTGGTAATAATTTTGCCATTTTAGGAGTCTTGAATTACGGTTGAAGGGGGAGATGTCTTTTTGCATGGTTGTTTGATTCTGCATGTTCATAAAGCATAATATATGCAGAAATTAGTCTCATGCTCTAGTTTTTTTCCAAATGTATTCAATAAAATTCTTACTACATGCTGGTTGCATTGGGGGTTTTTTTGACTTCTTTTGTTATGGGAGAGAATTGGCTTTTGGATCTGCGACACAGTTGTTGGAATAAAACCTAGGTGGGCATTTTTCACCGGTCAGTCTATATTTGAGGGAAACGTGGCAAACGGCTGTTCCCCACCTCGTGGCTTCTGTCTTTGCCCGTTGCTTTCTAACACAGCAGCCCAGCCCAGGTCAGTCAGCCCTCTGCGTACGCGTGGCCAGTCTCATTCACGGGAATTGATCTGTCCAGCAATTTTGAGCGGTCAGAGACTTACTGGAATTGGAATAACTCCAGATACAATGTTTGGGATCTTCCTAGGAATGCTGAAGATATTACAGCTTTGCTGCTTTTTTTCTGGTTTCTTGGAAAAAAGAAGAAGATATCTGTCAAAACGTCTGGCATTCCCACAATGGAGAGAAAAAGGATTCACTTCTTGGGGCCTTAAAATTTTCTGTGGTAATAAAAATTTTGTGTTTTCTCAAAGTTTGGGTAGATATTTTAACCAAAGATAACCAGGATACTGTCACAGGTGTGAACTAATCCACAGTTACTGTGCCAAATGATTGTTAGTCAAGCAACTCCAGTTTCTCTCTTGAGTTTGCCTACAAAATGGAGGGTGGGTGTTGGGGAGGTGGTCCCAAACCTGGTCTTCCTTTACAGTGGGGGGGGCTTTGCCCCCCTGGACCCCATCTTGCAGTCCATCAACTGGGGAGGGGTGAGGAGAGAGGTTGCCAGTGAAGACTGAGGGAAAATTTTTTTTAGTACGTCAGCCGCCTTCTTGTCTGTTGATACGAGGTTGCCATTCTTGTTTGTCAGGGGGCAGTATGCTTTCTTTAACCTTTCTTTTCTGGTCGTCCATGTTCACAAACAACAGGTCCTGCAGGTGCCTTCCCGAGTTGGCTCACTCACACCAGCTGTGTCAGGACACACTCCAGGAACCTCCTGGATTTTTTCCTATCCACTGTATTGTATTTTCAGTGGACATCTGGTAAGTTGAAGTCCCCCACGAGAACAAGGGCAAGCAACCGCGAGACTTCCCCAAGCTGCTTATGGAATATTTCATCTGCCTCTTCACCCTGGTTGGGTGGCCTATAACAGACTCTCACCATGATACCTGCCTTGTTCGCATTCCCCCTGACTGTTACCCATAAATGCTCAATGCTATCATCACCATCATCAAGCTCTAGACAATCAAAACACTCCCTAAGATACAGGGCTACCCCACCGCCTCTCCTTCCTTGCCTGTCCCTTCTGAAGAGTTTATAGCCGTCCGTTGCAGCACTCCAGTTGTGCAGGTTGTCCCACCATGTTTTTGTGATGGGCACTGTATCACAGTTTTCCTGCTGCACGATGGCTTCCAGCTCCTCCTGTTGTTACCCGTGCTGTGTGTGTTGGTGTAGACGCACTTCAGCTGGGCTGTCGATCGCACCTCCTTTCTGGGGGGAGAAGCCTCAATTTCTATGTCACCATTCTCAGGCGCTTCTGTGGTTTCTAGCACCTCAGTAACCCTTGCGCCTTCGCTGCCGCATGGCTCTCCATCCCCTACCTCCACTGAGACGGCAAACTGAAGGACCTCATGA